CTTTGTTCTTATCAAAAATATATGTACAACTAAGAAGGACAAGACACCTTATCTTAGTGCCTTGATTAAAAGAGGACATGAAGGCACCAAAATCTTAAATTGCCCCTTGTTTGGCACCCTGAAGTGCCTGGGGGAATTTGCCATCATAGGACCCTGAATGGGTAAGATGTCGGCTTTTCTTGTAAAGTGGGAGGAGGTCGATTATGAAAGGTAAGATGGCCTCTTCGAGCACAGCCGTTTCGGGAGAAAGTGCATGCAGAAGCTGAGGATATAAAAATAGATTCTCTTAAAACTATTTGTATCTGAATACCCCTTGGAAGATCTTTGCATACTCCTGGGGGTATGCTACTCCAGTTTGAAGACCATGCTCGAAATCATCAGCTATCTTTAAACGTTACCATCTGGGACGACATTAATCATTTTGTTGTAAAATTTACAAAAAGAAGGTTCTGCTAACATGTTTCAATTCCCTTTGTTTTTTGGTGAAATGTGTCAGAGACCCAGAAAAGTACGTAAAATATATACATACAGTTTAAAGAAAATGACAATTCTTTGTGGTTTTAATTAGCATTTCCCTGATTACTAATGAAGCTGAATATATTCTCACATGTTGTTTCTTCTTCAACTGAAATGCTTGCTCATGTCTTTTACTCTTTTTCTTTCTGTTTTGGGAAATCTGGGTTATTTTTTTTCTAATTGCTTTGTTGGCAATAAGATTTGGATACAAATTGCTAGTCATTTATATTTTCTGCTACAAATATGTTCTGTGTGGTTTTTCTTTTCACTCTTTTTCTGTTGTCTTTCGATTCACAGAAGTTCTTAATTTTAATGTGGTCACAACATCATTTCTTTTACAATCTATGTTTTCAGTGCCTTTTTCCCTCCCCAGAAATCCTCCAAAGTCCCAAGGTCATGAAGATAGTAAACTATAGTTTGTTTTAAAGTTTTATGATTTTGCCATTCACACTGAGGCTTTCCTCCATTTTTTGCATCTGAGATAGGGTTCAATTTCATCTTTTTTAAACTATCTATTGAAAAGTCCATCCTTACTCCCCGGATAGGTGGTGCCAATTATATCAGACATCAAGGTTCCATGTACACATATTTCTGTTTCTGAGTTCTCTATTTCCTTACATTGACCTATTTCTATATTTCTGTGCAAAGACTCTACTATCTTAATTTCCATAGCTTTAATAAGGTCTGATATATGTTAGGAAAACCTCCCCCACCTTGCTCTTCTTCAGAAGTGTCTTGGCTATTCCAAGCTGTCTTCTCTTTAAAGGACTTGTATTTTTCTTGTTGCTGTTAGATTTTTTCCCATGTACTTTGTATTTTTTGTTACTTCTGTATTGATATACTTTTAATCCATTTTTTCAGTGCTTGCTGCTGGAGTTAGAAGTAAAATGGACTTTCATATACTGTTTTTTATCAAACTTGTTAAATTATTTTTCATAATTTAACTAAAAATTCCTAGAGTTTTTTATACAGACAATAACATTATTTGCAAATAATGATAGTTTTACTGCTCTGGCTAGGACTGTCTACACAGTGTCTAATAGAAGTTGTGGAATAGTGCATACTTTGCTTGTTCCTGGTCTTAAAGGAGGACTTTCAAAACACTAAGGTGATGTTTGGCATAGATTTTTTTCACATGACCTTTATCAGATTAAGGAAGTTCCCTTCTATTCTCAGTTTGCTAAAAGGTTTATGATGATGATAATGATATCATGGGAATAAATGCTTCTTATTCGCCTATTGAGATAACCTTATTAAATTTATTTCTCCTTAATCTGTCACTATGGGGAATTATATTGACTGATTTTCTAATATTAAGCCAACTCGGAATTCCTGGAATAAACTCAATTTGTTCATGATGAATTATCCTTTTTCTACATTCCTGGATTTAATTTGCTAATGTTTTGTGTATAGTATTTTTGCATCCATGTTAATACGTGAGAAGTCCCTTAATTTCCCTTATTTATACTTTCTATGTCTGGTTTTGTCTTAAAGATTATGCCAACTCATAATAAATTGGACATGTTCCCTCTTTTTCTAGTTTCTGGAAGAGTTTTTGTAAAACTGAAATGATTTGTTCCTAAAACATTTGGTAGAATGTATTTATAAAATTATTTGGGAGCCAGCCCTGATGGCCTAGTGCTTCAAGTTTGGCACTCACCGCTCTGGTGGCCTGGGTTCCCTTCCCGGTTGCGAAACCACACCACCTGTCCGTCAGTTGCCATGCTGCGGTGCTGGCTCACATAGAAGAACTAGAAAGACTTACAACTAGGCTACATAACCACGTATTGGGGTTTGGGGGAGGAAAAAAAAAGAGGAAGATTCGCAACAGATGTTAGCTCAGGGTGAATCTTTAAAAAAAAATTATTTGGGCTTGGTGGCTCATTCTGTAGAAAATTTTAATTTATTAAAAATTGTTGATGAAATGCTTTATTATTTTATTAAAATTTAGTTATGGTACTACTCATGTTATTTCTTCACAGTTCTGGAAAATTTTATTTTTCTAGGAATTTAGTTATTTCTCCTAATTTTCAAATGTATAATTGCAAAATTATTCACAATACTCTCATATGTGGTTAAATTTTCCAACAGCTACAGTCATATCCTCTTTTTCATTCATAATGTTCGTTTGTACCTTCTCTCGTCTCATCAGTCGTGCTGAACACTGGTCTTATTCTTCTTTTTAAATAATCAACTTTACTTTATTAGCCCTGTCTATTGCATGCTTGTTTTCTATTCATTAATTGATAATCTTTTCTCTATTTTTTTCTTTCTTTTGCTGTTCTTTAGGTTCATTGTGCCATCCTTTTAATTTCTTATGTTGGGTGATAAGCTCATTAATTTTTATCCCTCTTTTCTTATATAAGCATTTAAGCCTTTAAGTTTCCCCATAAATACTACTTTTGCTATATCACACACATTTTAGTACATAATATTTTTATTAGCATTCAGTTCTATATATTTTATAATTTCCACTATCATCTACTTTTTTGAGCTATGAGCTGTCTAGAAGTTTACTATGAAATTTCCAAAAGTCTATACAGCTTATCTGGTTATCTTTTTGAATCTCAGAGTTAGTTATAATCATATCACTAAATTCTGGCCCATGGAAATGAACAGAAATGGTATGTACAACTTCTAGTTTCCACTAAAGGGAAGTTACATGCCCTCCCTTTTTTTCTTTTGTCTAGTTACAATGCAAATATAAGGGCTGGAGGTGGAACAGCCATCTTGGGTCAGTAGGGGGAAGCAATATATTGAGGATGGTGAAGCAAAAAAACAAAAGAAGCCTGAGTTTCTGATACCATACCTGCCATGGACACCATCTATTTGAACGGTCACTCAAGAAAGAAATTAATTTCTATCTTACTTAACCTACTATTATTTTTTGGTTTCTCTGTTAACTGAAGTCATGTCTAACTTTAACTAATACAGAAGTACGACAATCAAAATTATCCTGGTATTAATGGGAATGAAAATAAAGACAGATTCGAGAGGTGATATGAACTGAATTTATATCTCCAAGATGAACTGCCTTACATTCCCCTTCACTTCCCAACACTTCCTAAAATGGCTCTTACTGTACTGCCTATGTCTCCTCTTCTCCCTGACTTCCACATCTAAATTCACTAGTTTCCTTCTCTAAATAAGGGCATCCACTTTAACCCTGCCTTTCTGGCACCAAACTCCCCAACCCTGAATTTTCCAAGCACATTCCTAAGGTTGGGTTACCTCCAACGTGCACTTTCCCTATTCCTACTTGCAGTCTTTCACCGCTCCATTCTATCCTGCACACCTCTCCTACGGCTGTATTCCTATACACCACATTTACCTTGTCACAACCTCTGATTAAAAACCATGAATGGCTCCCTATTGGCTAACTAGCTGCGCTACCACCTTTTACCCACCAACCTTGCAATGCACATGACGGTGAATGCCAGCTGATCACGGCACTTTCCAAAAGAGCACTCAGAATCCTTCCCAACAGAAAGTTCCAGTAGCCAGTACCAACCAGTAGGAATTGGAACTCAGGAAGAAACCCATTTGTATCCCTGATATAAAGGATCTAGCCTAAATTCCTTGGTTTGTATTTCAAAACTCCAAAATATCTCCTATTACTCTCTCAAAGTGCTATCTCCTATGAACCTATAAGAAAAAAACGTGAAAGACTTTGAAATAGAACAAAAACTTACTGGATGTCTTCAATGAAAAACTAGTTTTTGCCTAGCACATCCTTCTGGGTTTTCTGATTCTATAGGTTTTCTATACCTGTCATTGTCTTTGAGCTATCTATAACTCTGTGAGTTGTGGATAATTGATAGCAATGCAAATGATTCTTGCTCCAAGACATGCAAATAAATTTCATCTGGGGAGGTTCAATTGATTTTCTCCCTCCATTACGGAAGAAGCCAGTTTTGCATCTATTTTAAATTTATTTCAGCACTCTTTAGTGCCTATATGTGTGTGGTTCTTTGAATATTCCTTTAAATCAGTGGTAACATCTTGCCCATTCTCTCATTAATTAATAAGTTAAATAAACTCATTTGTCATGAGATCATTTTATATTTGCATGATAGTCATGATTTGATGATTTTACTTTTTTAAATATCCTTTTAACACACCCTTTCTTCATGACTACCTTCAAAGTTTGATTACATCTCCAACATGGAATGCCTCCTCTGGCTCTTACTACCTGACACTACTGATTCTTCACATTTCAGAGATAAATCTAATCTCCATCACGTCCTCAAACTACAAAATCCATGATTTTTCATGATGAACCTAGACTGCAATGATGTCTTAATTTTACAATTATTTCTTTCTTCAAAACTCCCACAGAATGCGTTATCTATTTCATTTATGTGCTGTAGATAGTGTATCTGTATCTTGCACCATTAATTTAATTATGTAACTTCTCTCCTCAATTAAAGTGCAAGTTCCTTGAGAGAACTGATCACAATTTATTTTCCTTTTCTCCTCTTCAGAGTCAACACAGTGCCTTACACAGTGCCCAATAAACATCCACTACTGAGGGGCCAACCCCGTGGCATAGTGGTTAAGTTCGGCATGCTCCTCTTTGGTGGCCCGGGTTTGTGGGTTTGGATCCCGGATGCGAACCTACACCACTCGTCAGCCACGCTGTGGCAATGACCCAGATACAAAATAGAAGAAGACTGGCATAGATGTTAGTTCAGGGTGAATCTTGCTCAAGCCAAAAAAGAGGAAGATTGGCAACAGATGTTAGCTCAGGTCAAATCTTCCTCAGCAAAAAAAAAAAAAATCCACTGCTGAGTCCCATTCACAGCCCATGAACTGGGGCTCTCAATCAAGACTTTTTTCAGGTAACCACTTAGCTTTACTTGGGGAATCAACTTGTTACAGTTTGCCTGAAGGTGGTTCCTTCCTAGGAAAATTCACACTAAACTTTAATAAAGATCATTAGAGCTTCTGTGAAATATCAAATAAAGTGTAGTACTGATCAGAAAAGCTACGAAAAAAAGAATAAATTGATGTACTTCTGGGGGATTTTTTTCCCTCAACTATTGGACTGGTACTGTGTATACCTAAGACCAGTCTTATGTGAGGGTCATATATGTTCTGTTCAACATTCATTCTTTCATTCTACAAATGTTTATTGATTGTTTACTATATATTAGGAATTTTTGACAGGCCTTGGGGATGCATTTGCAAGTAAAATGTAATTTTTAATCCAAGAAGCTTACTTGCTCATGAAGAAAGAGACGGAAAGTCGAGGAAGAGGAGGAAAAATAGACACCTGATTGTGACCTAAGCATATAATAGGTAATTGGTGACAAGCCAAATCAAGTTTCTTAATAGGATGAACGGACCATCTTATTTTCAGGTATTATAACTACTGAACCTTTAAAATCAATCTATTGTAAATACTCCTAATGGAATGATAAAATTTTAAACTTCTGCAGATTTGTATTACCATCATATACACCCTACATTCAATGTCTTATGTACCCTTAATACCAACCCAACCAAGCAAATGCAGACCACTACCACTTTTCTATGGCTTAAGCGCTGAGTTGTGAGAGAATAACAAATGATCTTGAGATTGCTTTCAGCATATTTGATTTTATGAACTATAAAATACTTTACCAGTTGAATAGTCTACCAAGTGTATTAAATCTGCTCCTTATAATGCCATACGAAGTCAAAGGACTTCATAATATTTGAGCATTAACATTATTACTGATCATTTCCATTTTTATGGTTTTACTTCTGATAATTATTACAAATTAAAACCATCTTGAGAAAACCGCCATTGTAAAAAACCTAGTCCATTTAATCAATTTTATTCTTCTCATGATGACTTTTTATTTTTACCTTTATTCCTAAAGGAACCCTTAGAATAAGGCATTTAAGATTCTACTCCATAGTACTTTTTTAGTAAAGCAATTATATAAATAAAAAAGACTAATAAAAGTTATAGGCTTTTGGTTGTTGTTGATATAATTTTCAGCTTCTCATGGCATATTGGTATAATTAAAATGATTAAATAAGAAATAATAAGCAATCACATAATGACAATGATAACCTAACATTTGTTTGGTCCTAAATATTTTCACATATATTTTCTCACTTAATTCTGACAACAATCTGATAAAATAAGTTTAATTATGATAATTTTCACAGATGAAGGAATCAAGAAACAAGTGATTTGCTAAATGTTGTATAAGTGGCATTTTGTATGCTGAACCCAAGTCCTCAAATTCAAAATTTCTGTTTTTGTTCATACTTTTTAAAAGAGCATTTAATTCACAAGCCAAATCCTGTTGGCAAGACACTTCCTGAAGGTAAGTAAAATATATATGGAGGAACACTAAATATTTTATTCACCTGCTACGTCATCATACTGAAACTGAGAAGGTCAGTGTATTTTCCAAATGGCCCAGTTAAATCTAAGGAATAGGTTATTTACCGACTAGGGTCTGGAGACTGTCAATCAAAATCACCTGCTTACACAGGACTAAAATGTGCTTCATTAGCATCTTTCCATTCCTCATACTCACAAAATAAATATTTTACTCTTTATTAGCCTATTGTTTAGTTTCTTATTTTTTTCCTGCTCATTAAAAACATAAAAAGAGAAAATAAAAATCACCACTAGTCCCAAGCCACTCCTAACAGTTTGTGTGTTTTCTTAAAGTCTTTTTAACACAAAATATGCATATTCAATATTCATATCATATTCTCGTATCTTTATAGACCACTTTTTTCTCCCCATATTACAGCATGGCAATATTTACTTTTTGAAAACATGACTTTTTATGGCTGAATAATGTTTCATCATAAGGTGGTACCAGAATTTATTTCACCATTCTTCCAATTTATATGGTTTTTATTATAAAAATATTTATTTATAAAATTAATATAACCTTGTTTTATAAAACTTGAAAAACAGAGAAAGGATGGAAATCATACCCCTAATTCTTGTCTAACAAGTCACTATTACGAGTTTTGCTCACTCTTTTTTATTATTTTTTCATATGCCTATCATTATATGTTATCATTAAAGTACACATAATTTTATGTCTTGACTTTGTTTCCATTTTACATTATATTATAAGCCTTTTCCATAACCACTGTGGCATGCTGGTTGGAAATTCCACACTTTATCTAACCATTATTTTATTGCCAAACAATAAGTTGTCTCTCTTTTCTTTCTATTTAAAAATAAATCATTTTCCAATAAATATTGCAAGCATGTAGTCTTTACATTCATACACTTAAAAAAATTCTTTCCTAATACTAGATTCCTACAAGTAAAATTATTAAGAAAAAGGCTGACCAGCTTTCAGCATTATTTGGATTTTGTTGAAAACAATGTAAAAAAATTGTTAAATGTCTGAACTTCAAAGTATAAATAGCATCCTGACCTCAGTTTCTTATCAACCAGCCCTTTTAGTGACTGGGATATACAGAAACAAATATACAGGGTATCGATTACATTTAAACTAATTACATTCCTATAAATTAGTACATACTGGTGTCATCAGTCTTGAGAGGGCAGTGATCACTTAAATATGCACATTTTAGTTTTTTTTTTCATTTTAAAAAAATGAAAAAATCTACATACCTTTCAGGTACAGTTTAGCTTATTTTCCCCTTTGAATCTTAGATGTAGTTTTAGAAATGCTTTCTGGAACTTCTTCCTTGGGGAGTGCTCTGAAATTCACATCAGGAAACAGCAGTAATTCTGATAGAAGGAGAAAGAAAATGCCCCAACTTACCGTTTCTAATGCATTTACACGGTCCTGCAAACAAAGCACAATATATAATTATAAAAACAAAGCTATTAAAAATAATTTCAAGTTTACTTAATTTTCAGATTTTCTATTTATCTTCTATTAGTAATAATTTAAGAATGTAAAAAATGAAAACTACTCAGGATGATCTCTACAATAGAAAAATAGTCATAAAAGAATCAATATATCTTTTCTCATCTCAGCTATAGTGTTAGGACTACAAGGTATAATTTAACAGAAAATACCATACATTTAGATATAGTAACTAAAAGGAATAGCAACTAGTGGAATATAAGTATTAGATACATTTGAATATATGAATCACAACTAGACAATAGTAGTGATGTAAAAAAGGAATTTAGCACATATACCAGCCCTCAATTAGATCTATAGCACAAAATGTGATCTCACAGGAAGGTGAAGTTCAGACATAAGAATAACTTCATCAATTAAAATTAATAAGTAGATTGTTCATTGAAACAAGGCAGGAAAAATAAATGAGAAAGATATGTCACATGCAGCCAAGCCTGAACCCAGACAGGCCTTCATTACCTATAGTATCTTAGAAGGTTTTACAGAAATATTGTTTTTAAAAAGAATCATTGGCAATATTGCTTAAAAAGCTAAATGATTAAGGGTTGCATTCTCAATCCAATAGTTGTATTCTCAACTCTTTTCAGAGCTGACAGCTACATACAGAAAGTTTTTACCAAATAAAAAAGGCTGAATTTGAGAGGAGAGTCTGAAGATTTAAGAAAAAGGAAAGCCATCCTTTTTAGGAGGGTCAAGGTCATTTTTCTTTCTTTTCTCTGATTTTAAGCAATTAGAGGAGATGTGTGAAATCTGGATTTCTTTTTTGTTTAATCAAATTAGTCATCTGTTCTAAGAGGGAAAGGGGGGAAAATGGCACAGAGAGCCACTCAGCTCAGGTCTCTTGTGCCCCTGCAGGGACCGACATGGAATCATGACTCTTGGGAGCAAAAAGAACTCGGCCCTGACTTCCACTCGCCCAGCCTCACCTAACACACAGAGGCCTTGCCTTTGAAGACTTCTGTAACCCAATCTCCAATCCTCACACTGGGAAACTGAGTTGAACATTTCTACCCTTTAAATATTGGGCTATATGGGCATGAGTTAAATGAATATATTACGCAAAATCAGCCCAAAGCAGACTGTTTTTAGCAATATAATCTGTTTAATTGCATTCCGTTGTCATACTTGAGAGAATCTCACCCTCACCCCCATAATTTTCATAAAATAACTCCTATTTTGTTGGTGACTTGTGTACTGTCACATTTGAGCACTTCATAATCAATGCATATAATGCCTCAATGGGGCTTTGATCTCTTGTTACCAGGCATCTTATTCACAGTGCATCTGGGACAAAACCATTCAGCAATGCTTTATCACCCTTTGCAGACTGAACAAAACCTCATTAGATGCCTTATAGAGACAGAAACAGCCTTTGAGCAGTATCTCATTTATATGAACCATCTTGGAAGGCTCAAAATATTTACATTTACTATTTGGGCCTTAAGTTTTCCCCATACTACGTATTTATGGGCTCATGTTATTTAGGATTAGCATGTTTTAAAAGCACACAAACAGCTGGTTTGAAATCAGTGATGCATATGATGTCAAAAAAGTAGAATTGAATTAACTTCTGTCTGTCTTAATTCATATCTCAGTGTTTGGCAAAGATAAAGTGATATAATTTACGTATTAGTGTCCTCATTTTACTTAAATACTTGTTACAGGATTTTAAAAGAAATATGCACTGTCATGGAGTGCATGTTTGTGCCCTCACAAAATTCATGTGTTGAAACCCTAATCCCCAATGTGATGGCTTTTGGGGATGTGTCCTTTGGGGGTTATTAGGTCATGAGGATAGACCCTTATGATGGAATTAGTGCCCTTATAAGAAGAGACACAAGAATAGCTGCTTCTCTTTCTGTCTGCCATGCAGGGCATAATGAGAAGATGGCCATCCACAAGCCAGGAAGAGGGCCCTCACCAAGAATTGAATCTGCCAGCACCTTGCTCTTGGAATTCTCAGCCGCCAGAACAGTGAGAAATAAATGTTTGTTTAAGCCACCCAGTCTATGGTAATTTGTTGTAGCAGCCTGAGCTAAGACATGTTCCTGGTTTATAAGACTATGAACACAAATGGTCAAAAAAACTACATTTTGCTAAAATATAAAGATCAACAAATAATCTATTTCAATGCAATTTACTTATGTCTGTCTATAACCTACTTCATTCCAAAACGGTACTGAGACAGCTTTCAACGAAAAATATATATGTTAAGAAAGTGAGAAAATTAGGGAAATAGAAAATTCAGTTCATTAACCTGAATTTAAATTATTTAATTTACCAATCAATAGGATATCAGCCACTGCTGCCAATTAGTGAGTTCTCTCTAAATTGTAGAGTTTTGGGTTTTAATTGTAGGCTATAAATAAAATGAAACTACTCATAGTCTTTACGAACTTATTAACTGGCTTTTAAAATTTAAGAAAAGTATCTTGAAAGTTTAAATGGTTGTAGTTGACTTCTTTTTTGGCAGACAAGATTAGTTATAATTCTATATATAAAAGCATTAGACTACTGCAAATCCTTATTCTCAAAATATTTGCATACTTCTTTTCATGTTCTTACTATTAAAAAAGAGGTAGCTTAAGTCAATATTGTAGCATCGATACAGCATGAAAAAAATGCCAGTATATGTCCTAGAATGAACATATAATTACACCAAAATAAATTCTGTACTCTTTACCCTTTCCCACTCAGTAAAACTGCAGTTGTAGTGTTTTGTTGTTTAATCTCCAGTTTTCACTTAAGAGATTTTATCTTCAAGTTCAACGTGCAGTTCAACACTCTCCCCCTCTCCCACCACATACACACACTCGCAAGCTTGGATCCTGATAAGAAAAGTACTGTTAGGACATTGAAAGGGGTTGTTAGAAGGTGGGAGGAGTGTAGAGGGAAGACAGCCTACAGAAGTGATGAAGACACTCTCACCATAATCATGCTATTTCAGGTGGTTTTAATAAATCAGTGGTTCTTATTTTTGTAGTCATGGACTTAGAGTCTGATGAAACTTGATCTTCTCCCCAGGAAAATGTACATTATAAACAATGCACACAAAATTTTGCATATACTTTTAGGGGAACTGCAGACTCTCTAAAGCCTACCCATGAGCCTCCAGGTCCTTTCACTCCAAATAAAAACACCTGAAATAAGATGTAAGACTATTATACAAATAAATTATTTTATTAAACCAACTCGCTTTAGTTCTCCGGTATGAAATTTTTCTGGATAAATAACACGTACAACAAGGAAAGAAACAATTGGGAGTGGGAGGTTAAACAAAACTCAAAGGAGAAATTGCCTTCAAATGTTTTGAAGAAAAAAAATTTTTGAGAGAAAAAACTTGTTTTGTTGTTATTGGTTTTTGGTGATTGGATAGTCCCTTCTCCACTCTATTCTATCTAAGCAGGGGGAAATCTAAGAAACACTTAAAATGGCAACAATTATTTTAATGTTTACTCTTAAAGTTTATGCATGTGGTCACTGTATAGTTCTTGAGTTACAATGGAGAGTGCTAGCTGTTCTTACCAACGTGAACATTATACACAATTTCTAAGTAAAAAATAATGCTGCCAGACAACATGTTTTAATTTATTCTGGGCTTGACAGATCACATAGAGTTATATTTTGGGGGAGGCCTATAGCATATGTACTATAAAAAAGACATATTTTAACTTTTTATGACGAGGTTAGTAACCTGCTTTGAGCTTATACATTCATTTGCCTCTTGGTCACAATGGGATGTACGCTGGAATTTATGAATGAGCCAAGGCAAATTCATTAGCAACACTGGAGATGGGCAAATATTTGTAGGCTAAATTAGGAAATGAATGCTAAATGGGTATCTGAATCCCTGATCATTAACAGTTTATTTGATTCAGCTGAGCCAATCAATTAGCCACATTGAATCATCTATCCTATCTAAGAGATGAATTAGAGCCTTGTAGGTCTAAATAATCAGAGTTCTTCTGCTTCTGGTAAGTGTAGTCAAATAGGTCCTAGTGACCTATTTTATCACAATAATGTAGCATTTTCCAAGAATGCTTTACATATATCCATTAGCATAAGAAAAAGCATAATACTGACATAAAAATATAACGAGCCGCTATGCGTTCCAAGTCTAAGAGGCTTTAAGAGTATACAATGATTCTGGAAACTTCTCTGCGACTGAAGGGCCATGATGGACCCATAATTTTCAAAAAGAAAAACCCACAATGAGGTCTCCCTCTCCTCACTGTTCTAAAAGCACAAAGCCTCTCTTCTGGAGGAAAAATTCACTCAGCTTTACCCAGAGACCACTGCAGGGCATTTTTCCCGTCAATGTTAACTCTGTTTAATCAACACTCACACTTTCCCTGCTACTTCCTATATGAAGGATATAAATGAAATGCAAATATGTACCTTTTTTCCTTTATGCATTTCCACATGGCAATCCATTAGTTAACAAATTGCTGATCGTTTTTTAATAATTAAAAGAGCTAGAAATAATTTCAAATGTATTCTTTTCCAAGCTTCAAGATATTAAAATGAAAGAAAAGGAACAGGCCTTTATTAACCTTCACAAAAAAAGATCAGCATTTCATATAGTGATTTAAAATAAATTAAAACAAAATAAAGACAAAAATCGCAAAAAACCTCAATGTTGCAACACCAAAAAAACCTTTAAAATATAGCATAAGTTGGCTTTGAATATACCAAATGAATCAATGATCCATATATAAAATTGCATGTTATCTATTAAAAGTCAGACAAAGTTACTCTGTACTTAAGAAAAACTTGATCATGAGTGGCATTAGGGCAGCCTGCAGTGGTTTCCCAATCACCCACTGTTGGATTTTGTCATCATTAGATCCCTGCAGTCAATCTCTGTTAACTCATTTCGCTAGCTGCTTATGTGCCTTTTCCACATAACCTACCTCTGGGTCCAAATAACAAAACAGAAATGTGAAAAGAAAACCACAGCAAGCCAGCAAGATTTTGTCTAAAAATTTGTCAATAAAAACCCCTCAACGTTTTGACTTATGAAGAAAAGCCAGTTTAAAGGGATGTATCATTTCCCAGCCGAGAGGGAGTACCCAGTTACATTCCTTCTATCTGCTTTCACTCGGGGTGTGGCTAATCCCTGGTAGAAGCAGACACTATCACAAGGTTTAAGAACAGAATCAAAGTGTGTGCTCCATATTTCTGATCTGTTCTCTCATCCACGACTACTGTCATAACAGCGACCTGAGGCCGCCAGCTGTCCTTCTGTAGCTTTCTCCTGCTACATTCTCAAGTTGGTGTTTTGGTTTGTGGTTTTGTTATGATGCCATTACTGACCATTGTACTCCAGTTAAGTTCACTGCTCAGGAAAGGCTGAGGCTGCATTTATACTGAAGTGAGATGCATGCATGGGTTTGTGGGGTGGGGAATACAAGTAGGGTAGAGGAGGCAGATAAAGATAAAAATATGGAAATGGGCCTCTGTTGGTTTGTTTCAACATATTTCCAGCTGGAAAATACAGCCTGAGAGGCTAGGTAAGGGTTTTGCTTAAAATCCCTGTAAACATTTCCTGTCAACAGTATGAAACTAATACCAAAAAAAATCTCAGATTTACCTTTAAATTTCAGATCACAAAGCAAAGCAATGAGGTTTCTTTTTTTTTTTTTCTTTATCATGAAGAATCACTTTAAGATTCTTCTTTAATGCACACTGTAATGTGGTTCATAGGTGTGTGCCTACAGGATAAGACCATAAACCAAACGAAGGGCAAAAGACACAGAATTATCTTTCTCTGGGAATTGCTCAATTCCACAGTGAAATTGCTGGTAACAGGTAATGAGGTTCAGTGAATGACATCTGGACTGGGGAACAACTAAAAATTATTTGCAGATAATAAAAAGGCTATGATGGTGGTTAGGGCCAATGCAAATGACAACCAATGTAATTTCAAAGATTGACTGTCCCCCAAAAGAGATGCAGGAACAGGAGTTGAATAGTAGGGGGAGAAAGCCAACAACCCACAAACCAACACACCATATTTTTTTTTCAAGGATTTACATTTTAAGAAATAAAGTACATGTCTCCAGTTGTGAGGTTAGTCATATATCAGCTGAATACGCTCTGAACTCTTATGCAAATCGTACTGCAGTGGTGATTATGGCATAATTTATGAGTAGGTTTGTGTCATGCAGAACTTGTGGAAACAATAGGGTATGCCTTTTTTTCAGGGTGTCTATCTGACTGCCACCAAACACAGGTGATCTAATGAGACTCCCTGAGGCTGACACCTCCTTTGTTTCCCTCAAGGAAACACATACCCTGGGCTTCCAGGTGAAGAATGTTCACAAGGGAACCCACATAACCATAGAACCCTTTGACCCAAGTTCCTTCCTCCTGAACATCTGAATCACAGCACTTGATGGTTGACTGTCATGCACATCACACAGCTGAGTCATTAAATGGTACAGGCAAACAGTCCTCCTTGGGAATTAAATTGCTTACCTTTGAGCAATTCCAATAATCCCCATCCTAATTTACATGCACAGTCATTTACTTAATTCTTTTCAGGAATTAAAGCACAAGGAACATTATATTAGAGATTCACTCTCTCTCTCTTATCCTCATTCCCATATTCCTTCTGTGGGCTTCTGTGTACAGTTACCTCTCATCTTTCTATACTAAAGAGAGAGGCAGCTGATAAGGATAATCAAGACATAAGCAGATGATTTTAAAATAATATATTTGGCTGACATGAGTTAGATTTTTCTTGCTTCCTAATTCAATATGAATAAGAATAAAACTATTATTAATCTCCATTTCCTAATATATAAGCACAGGTAGGAAGGGAAACGTGGTTAAAGGATTTAAAACTAACCTTACATTACCTGTACTCTGATAACCGATGGTGCACTATTCTTAGTGTCTAAGAAAACTGAGGGAAAAACCCAACAACTCAGATTTTAGTTGCACTTCTGGGAAGCATACCTGAGGGCTGACTTATTCTCTATACCCTAAAATAAACCAGATATATTTTGACTATTCAGTTTCAAATATCCTAAATATTCCTACCTATGAAATACTTAACTGCTTTTTCTTCAAATTGAGCTTCATTCTGATTTTTCATTGCAGTCTGACTAGCATCTTCCCAAGGCGGAATTTTAAACAGTAGCTTTGGCTGTTTAAGAGAGATGTGAGTAAAGAAAAAGAGTTGGAAAGCTCTATTGTCTTAACATAATTGAAAGCACTATAAATAACAATAGTTATAAAAATAACACTAACAGGACGACAATAGTTTCAAATAAATTTAATTTCTGCAGTAAGAGAAAATGATATCATATTGTACTTTTAAAATGTTCCCCCAAATAATTCCGTATCCAACTTAGATTTTAGGGAAATCATTACTTGAAATTTAAAACAGTTACTCTTCAGGATTATAAATATAGAGTCGTGATTTAGTTCAATGTAGCTTCAGTTGTCTTGCTTTCAAAAGCATTCCTGGAAGTAACTTATCCTAAATTCCAAAGTCTATGAAACGAAGGAATACATAAGATGGGAGCTTGTTAACAGACACACCTGGGCAGTTTTAGCTGGTTAACGAAAACTCCTTTTACACTCACAACCTTACCTGTGGATAACGAAGTGGGATATTAAAAGCTCAGGGAGGTCTGATTACTCAAAATTACACTTTCCTTCCATTTGCAAAATTATTTAAAATTCTACTAACAAAAACTTATTCTTCATGGAAGAACTCAAAAATTATTGACTCTCTTCACTCCAGTTCCTCTTTTAAAAGGCAAACACTCTTGACACAGATAACCAGTAAACTAGTTCATTCCAGGACAAGGGTCAGCAAAGGACAGTGGGTCAAATATGGCCCACTGCCTGTTTTTATAGGTCCATGACTTAAGAATGGTTTTTATAATTTTAGTTGGCTGAAAAAAATTATAGGAAGAATAATATTACATGACAAGTGAAAATGATATGAAATTCAAATTTCAGTTTCCCTAAATAAAGTTTGATTGCAACATGGCCTACTCAGTTCTTTACATATTGTCCATGGCTGCTTTCATTCCATCATGGCAGAGTTGAGCTGTTGCGAGAGAGCATGTAAAATTGAAAATAGTTAGAATCTGGCCCTTTCCAGGAAGTGTGGCGACTCTGTTCTAAGATTTTGGTATCCTACAAGAATTACTTCCTGCCTCACAGAGGTCACCCTGTAGCAAACCCTGTAAGTTTCTGGAAGGCAAGGATAAGGTAAAACACACTAACCAGGGACAAGAAAAGAGAATAGGAACCGGAAAGTTTTTACTCAACTTTTAAACTTTAAAACAAAATGTAAAAGTTGTAGTGTATGCATAAATACGTATATCCAGAATATAAACCATCCCTTAGGCCACATAAGTTTTTTCCTTTTGTCCTTTATTCCTTTTATCCACCTTTTTTTCTTTCCTTTCAATGTCTTTCCTTCTTTCCTTCTTTGCTTCTTTTCTTTCTCCCTTTCTCCTTTCCACTCATTTATTCACTTAATTAATTCATCCATTCATCCATTCACTCACACTTATTGAGGTAGACACTATGTTGGACTTTGGGTACACAGTCATCAACAAAGAAAATAAGGTCTCTCTGCCTTCACGGAGCTTACATTCCAAAGAAGAAGACAAAGACATAAATAAAGAAGAGACCCAGGAACTGTGATGGGGAGTGAGGGCAGAGGTTTACTTTAGACAGGTTGTCAACTTAAGTTCCCACAAAGGGGTGAAATCTGAGCTGAAACTGAAAAGATGAAAATGAGCCATCATAGAAAGAGCTAAGAGAAAAGCACTACAGAGAGAGGGAGTAGAAAATGCAAAGGTCCTGGGACAAGAAAGGATTGTTTGAGTTCAGAAACAAAAGGGACACTGGTATGTGTGTTGTGGCTGTTAAAGAAAACATTCCTTTAAATTACCAGTATCATAACAATCAACACTATTTATTAAAAGCTTATTATTTGCCAAAAATTGTATGGGGTGCTTTACACATATGTTCTCATTTAATGCTCATAAAAACTCTCAACAGGTAAATATTATTAATTTCACCTATTAATTTCATTTAAAGTCAGAGAAACAGACTCAAAGACATTAAATGTATTAAATTCCACACGGTGATTAAATGTTGAAGCTTAGACTGTAATCCAGGTCCACCTGACTCAAAGGGGTTGATACTAACCCTCAAAAACAAATTAAAGGTCACATTAAAAAAAATATATATATTTAATAGTTCTACAAAATGGAGCTAATGGAAATACCATGTGCTGACAGTACAGTTTTATGAGCAAACAGACAATAAACACTTTTTTATTACCATCAGGGCTATTTTTTGTGTGTGTGGTAGAGGTTAGTGGATACACTGGAAAACTGTTCTGGAGCGTCTTTCAGAAAATTACACATGCCAGAACAGCATTCCAGAACTTTATTTTTAACAGATGTCAGGTGACAGTGTAACAAAACACATACTATATCACAATAAAATTTAATGTTCAAATAAAAACCATTATTTGTACACATTTTTATATTTATTTATTATATAATAAAAGGGATTATATTTTTGCCATATGCCTTCCTTAAGTAAGTTGCATCTCCTTCTGACATCTGGGCCTGACATTAGGTCAGCTGAAGCACGCACAGTCAATACCACTGGGGAAATAGAAGAAGAAACGATAAAGGAACGCAAAGATCTAAACTTAATTAGCTGTGATGTTGTGCAGTTAAATGGCACATCTACTGTGCTGGTCTCCCAATTCTTTTAGATCTGGGCTGCAAGAGCTTAGATGCATCACTGAGTTCATAAATGGCCTCTTCCTCCCACCCCAGTTTCATTTGAGACAAATTTATTAGTTCTTTCCTAGCAGTGAAATGAGAACTAGGGATTTCAATTACAAGAAGAATGTAGTAAAGGCATGGAGTCTCTTGTAGGTAATATTTTTCTATTTCATGTTATGAGCAAATATAGAAATATTATTAACAGTCATTAAATGTTATTTATTAGCACGCTAATAAGTCTTCCCATTTTCAAAAGTAAACATTAAACTTTTAACAAATTAAATTTAGAATAGTAAGTGTAATGCAGATACTCTGGAAAAGGAATGCACTTCAGAATCAAATTTTTAAAGCCAAAATAATCATTGATTATGATAAAAAGACAAAGATATAAGAGGAGATGTTTATTAGTCATTCTTTCAGCTCATTTTAGTTTTATCACTTTTTGCACAATTTAAAATTTATGCAAAGTTTTCAATGTTGCCTTTAATTTTTGCCAGAATATTTTGAACCTGGTTTAAAACTGAAATTGAAGAAGCCGGAGGAGGGCTTTAATAACAACTTTCTTCAGTCTGTTTATTTAAAATGTGATGAATAAGCAAAATGAAAAGGTGCAGAATGGAAAAAGAAAAATGATCCCTTCTCCTTCCTACAAGTGCTGGAGATTACTGGATTGTTCACAGTCTCACATCAGGAATTGAAATGTTCCTCACATGCCAATAGCCAAATATATATACAATACCATCCCAGTTGCCATGTATAAGTAAGTTGATAGCCTAAGGGTTTATAAGTAGTTTTAAAGTTATAGAAAGGTAGTAAGAGGTTTCACAAATATTAAGTCCCCAGTATTGCCTGACTTATTTAATGCACTTTCTAAAAATTATTTAGTTTCTTATAGTCTTTTTTTGAGGAGGTAGGGGGTCAGTAGTATTTTACCACACTAAATGCTTAATATGTTTGCTAACGAGTCATTCTTATAGAAAAAATATGGAAGAAATTAAAAGACAGAAGGTCAGGAACCTAAACAAAGTGTAGAAATTCGGATCTCTATAAGCTCGTGAGGCATTTAAGCACAGTGGTATAGAAGGCAGGCGGATTCTAATAGCCCTGTCACTTATGGGCTGAGCAAGCAATGAGCTTTAGCTTCTTTATCTGTAAAATGAGAATAACAGTATTTACCTTATAGAATTGTTGTAAGGAATAAATGATATATATTTAGAAGTTTTAGCATAGTGTATGACACAAAAGAATTGCTCGGTAGCTATTAACACCATTCAATAACAAGTCAGAAGGTGACTTTTTTCTTGTCTTTGATGAAGGCTCCATCACCCTTTGAGGCCGATCTGGCAAAATCTTGACAGGAATTTACAAGTGCTAAATAAGCACTTGTTAATATATTGAAACATAATATTAGTGAGTTTTCAAGACCCCAGATTGGGGAAATCCTCTATATTGTTTCTGGAAAATCAGCCAGAGATAGGAATCGGGGAGAGTCCTAGAAGTAAGAGTTATAGTTTCTTTCAATGACGTCCTGTGAATGCTTAGAACCTCAGAGATTTATGAGTCAACGGAAACTGTTTCAACCAGAAATGTATTATTGATGAGCATTTGTTGCCAAATCTGTTGCATACTACAAACATTACTAGAAATATGCTCTTCACAACTGTCAACGTTATTGGGAGATGGAAGACAAAATGGAGAACATGTGTTACGATCTGAATGTTTGTGTCCCTCCCAAAATTCATAGGTTGAAATCCTAACCCCCAATGTGATGGTATTAGGAGATGAGGCCTTTGGGAGGTGATTAGCTCATGAGGGTGGAACCCTCATGAATGGGATTAGTGCCCTTTTATAAGAGACTCCAGAGTGCTCTCTGCCATGTGAAAACAGAGTGAGAAGACAGCTGTCTATGAACCAGGAAGTGGGCCCTCACCAGATACTGAATCTGCCAACATAAATACTGAATACAGATACTGAATCTACCTTGGTCTTGAACTTCCCAGTCTCTCGAACTGTGAGAAATAAATGTTTCTAGTTTAAGCTACCCAGTCCAAGGTATTTTTAGTATAGCAGCCTGAATGGATTAAGACACACGGTTATCTGTCTGAAGTTTAAGGCCTATCTAGAGACGTGAAGTGAGAAGAATAAGCAGATACTTATTATGGAGAATAGTCTTGAAATGATCACTTAAACTGCAACTCAAATGAAATTGCCCCAAATTGTAACATGACAGTTGACTCTGCAGACATGGCAAAAACTTCCAGACAAGCTCAACAGTGTGAAACATCATAAAGCACATAGTTTTCATTTTTCACACGAAAATATAAGCTGCTTTCTACATCTTTACATCAGCCCCAGTGCCCATGGAGCTCAGATTCAG